GATTATTCCATTCGATGAACAGATCTAATATGTTTTTAACATCTTCTAAAACTCTCTGGAAGGTTTAACCCAAAAAACTGACATCCACGTTCATGTCACTATCAGAGCCTGCTTCATCATCTCGGAGTGTATATACATCTCCTTTATTTTTCCCAAACCCACCCTATTAGCAAGATACGAAGTCTTTCCTTAAGGACCGCCCCCCACCGCCCCCTGCCCCAGCTGCATTAGAGGCAGAAAGATGCCATCGTGCTTGTGTCCTGGAACCTGACGGCCCACCCACTGCCCTCGCCTCACCGCTGGTCAATGACCGCTCCTGCCCGCGGGGAGGAATCCACTCCAGGGCTCTCCATGTGGCCGGGCCCCCACTTGGGTCTCAGGGGAACTCCACACGGGGTTCCCAGGTGACATTCTTTCAGTTTATACTCCCTTCTTTAGCCATGGTTCCAAAACAAACCTCTGGGCCAACATATTCAGGACTGAAGGAGCTCACAGCATCAGCTCCACTGTTATGCCCAATGTCCTCCTAGGTTCGGATTCCCCATATCCCCCATTCAGTTTCACTTTGAGGGACTTGTTCCCCTGCCTTTACTCAGACAGAGCTTCCTAACGTGGAAGCTGCGGGAGCAGGACTTGAGGTCCTAGTTCTCTCCCGGGAGGCTTGGGTTTCTTCCTGTGTATTGTCCACCCCCATTCCCTGTAACCAGCTCGGTAGCAGCGGTTTTCTAAGCCATGCTGCATCAGCAACAAAAAAGGGCACAAATGATCTTTATAAGGTCAAAGAAAGCTAGCTTCTCTCAACTAAAATGACAGGATCCCACTCCCTGTGATCAATCAGCTATTTCTTTTATAGACCTTAGACTCAGAATTGTAGATATGTAAGAACTTTGCAGGTCTTCCAGTTCAGACTTTTCATTTTACAAACATGGAAGCAGGTCCAGAGAAAGGTAAGCAGTCTATCCAGCATCCACAAAGGTGTTCAGCAGCAGAGCTGCGCCAGATGCCGTCGACTCCCGGCACACTCTTCCCGCTGCACCTCACTTTCATTTCCCTTTTGATTTTCTTTCCTTTCATGTTTGACTAAAGAACTTATGGCTTTGTATCCTTCTCTTTTCTTGATATTGGTGCTGCATTTGTATGAATTACCCATAAATAGGCTGGAACAAAGAGACATCTCTTATAAATCTCCTGCTTCTCATTCACATCCTAGAACATTAATTGTTCCACCCAGTTTTGAGTGTTCCCTGCTTTATGCAAATTACTGTGATTTTTTTTTAAAAATCCACAGACTAATTGAGAAAATTGAATGTCATAGGAGGAAGAGTAATATTTTGAGAACTAATAATGGAGGAAGTAAATCAGACTTGAAACCCTATATGGGAGATAAGAAAATCCTGAAAACATTCCATGGAAAAGAAGCCAGAATACAAAATATTTGTCTTCTTACTAGACACTAAGTAACTTAGCAGCAATTAACTAGTTATGGAAGCCATGTAAACTTAGTTTTACAAAACAAATAAAATATATGAAACAGTGTTTTTTAAGACACTGGATGCCATGCAACAGAAGACATTGATCCCTAGGGAAGGAAGCCAAGCTGAGCATCTGCAGGCAGGACACAGAAAGGAAGAACCAGAGAGCCTGGCTGACTCCTGAGTTGAGGAGGTGGAGTCAATAGTCTTGAAAGGCTGTGGTAGCTGGAGTTCAGAAGGCAGGGTAGCAGAGAAAAGAAGGCACAGAGAAAACTCCAGCAATCCCTTAAATATTCTGTAGGCACTCATTAACACGTGTGTGAAGAAAGTACTGAAAATGGGGAAAGAACCCAGTATGATCAAAGGAACAGTACTTAGCACTCACGAAGACCAAGAATAATAATTGTTCCTACATAATTCAAGAGGCATTGTGTAAAGTACTTAAAGCATCTTGAATCAGTAGTGGAGAATAGGGAGCCCTAGAATAAATTCTGCTATTCCCACCTAACAGATCTCAAAGGCAAAACCTGAAGGATCAAACTGCTTCCACGTAACAGTCCTAGGACAAAGCTTAAGAATATTTATAGAAACACAAAAATATCAAGCATCCAACAAGGTAAAATTTGCAATTTCCACACGTACGTAAGAAGCAGGAAAATATGACTCATAGTGAAGAGAAATGTCAATCAATCAAAACTGAACCAGAATTGACACAGATGTTGGAACTAACAGACAGAAATAATTATTAGAACTGTATTCCAAATGTACAGAAGGTTAGGAGGAACGATTGAATATCGTAAGTGGAGTCATAGATGTTAGAAAAAAAAAAGTCAAACTTTTAGAGATGAGAACCACAATTTCTGAGATGAAAATTACTGTGAAATGAATAATGACAAATTAGATACTGCAAAAGAAAAGATTGGTGAACTTGAATGCCTAGCCATAGAAACTGTCTAAAATGAAACACAGAAGGAAAAAAAAGACTACCAAAAAAATGTACAGAGCATTTGTGAGCTGTGGGACAATTTCAGGTATCTGCATTCAGATAATTAATAAAGCATGGCTGACATATTTCCAAATTTGATAAAAATTATTAACTCACCCATCCCAGAAACTCAAGAACCATGAAAAAAAAACTACATGAAAGCACATTCTAATCAAGTTGCTCAAAACAAATGATAAAGAGGAAAACGTAAATGTAGCTAGTGTGCAAAAAGATTATATACAAAGGAACAAAGGTAAGGATGAAGGCAGATTTTTCATCGGAAACCATGAAAGTGAAAAACTGGTACCATGATCTTTTTCAAAGTACTGAAAGGAAAAAGAACTGTCAATTTGGAATCTATATCCCATGAAAATAACTTTCAAAAATGAAGGCAACAGACTTCTTAAGAGAAACAAACACTGAAAGAATTCATCACCAGCGCTTAGGTAGTGAATGTTTATGTTCCAAAAGTCATATGTTGAAATCCTAACCTCCAATGTGGTGGTTTTTGGAGGTGGGGCCTTTGGGAGGTAATTAGGGTTAAATAAGTTCATGAGGATGGAGTCCTTCTGATAGGATTAATGTCCTCATAAGAGGAGGAAGAGAGACCAGAACTTCACCATTCAAGAACACAGGGAGAAGGCAGCCATTTGCAAGCCAGGCATAGATCCCTCACCAGAAACCTTGATTTTGGAGTTCCCAGACTCCAGAACTATGAGAAATAAATTCCTGATATTTAAGCCACCCAATCTCTCATATTCTATTACAGCAGTCCAAACTAAGACACAAGCATACTTACAGTACAAAATATCTTTGTGTTAAGTTGACTTCCAAAATACGTGTTAAGTAAGGCTTCCAGTCAACAGGCTATTAGTACTTAAGTGTTTGAGGAGTCAGAAGCAATGCATGGATTTTTAATGGCATGGAGTGTTGGCACCCCAACACCAATGTTGTTCAAAGACAACTGTTTATCTATTAGAATGAAAGCCTGTCCATACCAAGTGGTAGCAAAGATGTGAAAGGACTGGAATTCTCATATGCTGCTGTTGAAAATGTGAAATGGTACCACTTAGAAAGCAGGAGCAGTTTCATTAAAAAGTTAGACTTACACATCCCAAATAATCCATCCATTCACCCCTAGGTATTTACACAAGAGAAATGACAGCACATGTTCATACAAAGATTTATACACTAATTCAGAGCAGCTTCATTTGTAATAGCCAAAATCTGGAAACACCCAAATATCCATCAGTAGATGAATGGATAAGAAATTGCACTATATCCACACAATAGAACACTACTCAGCACTAAAGGAAACAAATGTTTGATGCAAGCATGCAACAACACAGCTGAATCATCAAATAACTGTGCTGAGTACAAAGAGCGAGACATAAAGGAATACAATTTGTATGATGCTATTTTTAGAAAATACAGAAAATGAAAACTAAAGTAACTCAGAAAGCAGACCTATGGTTTCAGGGGATGGAGCACTGAGGGGTGCAAAGGAAGCACTGTTGAGGGGTAAAAAGAGACTTGGTGGTGAAGGATATATTCACTTGATTATGATGACAGTTCCATTGTTACATGCATAAGCAAAAGCATACCAGACTGCACACTATAAATACATGCAGTTTATTATATGTAAAACTGTTAAAAAATATGAATAAAGCCAAAAAGACTGTAAGACTCACTATTGGAATTCATGCTGTAGTAAACATTACTGGAAAACTGTTATGTACTTTAATTATTACAGATACAGTGTTTCAAAAATACATCGGTGGACACTTTTTAAAGCAAAGAACTCTTTTGTAAAAGTAATCTTCACTGTTAAACATGTCTTTTTTATGACTCCTAATATATATTATGTTTCCATAGAGAGGCTGTACATCAAATCTCCCTGGATAATGACAGCATGGTTCCACCTCCTTTCAAGAGTTTTTCATGAGCAACAATAGGATTCTGTGGGTCGTGCTTTGTCTGCAAGTGGCGGAGGGCAGTTGCAGTGCCGATGACATCTACTCTGTACACATACAGTTAGTTCACTTGTTAGGTGTCATCATTAGATATTTACTCTGCTCGGCATCTTAGCCAAATTGCAACCTGGGAACTTACGTGTACTTCATCAAGAGAGCATTGCAAATACTACACCGTTTTTCATTTCCTCTTAACACAAACCTCAATTAATACTTGAATTAGGACTATTTATATGTGGAAGTTCGTGTTCAGTTGGCTAGCAAAATCAAAATTACCAAGTTTTAAAGTATGTGTGTATTCTAATTGTTTTGAGTGTTCCATTGAAAGCCACGGCTTTGTTTCTGTGGGGTAAAAGGATGCAGTAAGTGCATAAGATCAAAGTCAGCCATAGGACATGACTTTCCAGTTGTGTTTTCTGAGCTCACTGTGCTAACTAGCATGAAGATGCTGATGGGCAGTTCTGCCCCTTTCTGCCTCGCTCGTGGCACAGGAACCGTGCCTTCTCTCACCTTCTCACCTCCTCTCACCAACTTGGATAACTGTGCTGACCCGGCCTTCCTTTCTTCCAGGGTGTGAACGGCATGTCTGTGGATGAGAAGCCTGACTCCCCCATGTATGTGTATGAGTCCACAGTCCACTGCACCAACATCCTCCTGGGCCTCAATGACCAGCGGAAAAAGGATATTCTCTGTGACGTGACTCTGATCGTGGAGAGGAAGGAGTTCCGGGCCCACCGGGCTGTGCTGGCCGCGTGCAGCGAATACTTCTGGCAGGCGCTGGTTGGGCAGACGAAAAATGACTTGGTGGTCAGCTTGCCTGAGGAGGTACAGTAGTTTGGTCTGTCTGTGTGGTTGCTAATGGAGGCTTACTGCTCTGTAGACAGTTGGCTGAGTAGGAGCTGGAAGGTGGACCCTGTGCCATTTCCCTGCTCTGGGGCTGATGTCCAGGTCACCCACACATTGTGTTTGTGGCATGGCCAGTTTCTGTCTGATGCACTTAAAGTTTCAGAGGCATGAATCTGAACAGAGAATCTTTCTTAGGGGAACTGAATCTCCCTGTGGCTCATAGTTTCTAGTTCACTTATGCTTCGGGTTCTGAGTAGTTCAACCAAAATTTGGTACCATCCTAGCTGTGGGATCTGAATCACTGGGACTGTTGCTATGATTTTTCTCTTTCAAATGGTTGAAGGGGCATTTGGTTTCCGTTGAGAGTAAAAGAATGAAAGTATTCACAGCACCTTCCTTGACTGGGGGGAAAATAAAAGCAAGCGGTAGTTTTCAGAGTTAGTATTGTAAGATTCTTAGAAGTGTATACTTGCTTTTCTCACCATTGTTGAAAATACCCTGCTGAAGTTTCTTAATCGCTTCAGTGAGTCCAGTCATTTCTATACTTTGGGGACATGAGTAGCGGGACCTGCTTCTGTCCAGAGGTGATACTCACCTTCAGGATTTGAGCTGCAGGAACTCCAAGGACGGGTTCAAACATCACCCTTTGAGCTGAGCTGTGAATACGGTTCCTCTTCTTCCATCATCCTGACTCCCCTTCATATTCATGGGACTAAGGGTAACACTGGGCAGCAACCGTAGGCTTTGTGTCCAGGGCCAGCAGCATCCCCTGCGCACCAGCCCAGCGTGCCGCACTGGGGCCACCACCACCAGAGCTGCAATCTGTGTACTGCACAGCTCGGGGTGCAGCTGACACCCATAGTCCCCAGAGTATTTTGTGACCCACAGAGCCACTCTCCACAACAACCCTAGGGGAAACCAGAGACCCCGTTACCCTGATGGGAGGTGCTAACAGATACAACTAACGTTCAATGCGGGAAATCACAAACCCAAATGCCTCAAAAGGCCTGGCAAATAATATACGTGAGGTAAGGCAGATTATGTGTAAGATAGGAAGTGTATTGTATGTACCAATAAAAACTAAAGCATTCAGAAAAAAAAAATAGCAGGAAGTGGTGGGGCAAGCACCTGCTCCACAGAAAGGCATCCAGATTCTCCATAAAAAGCAAATAGGGAAACAAGACATGGGGGCACCAGAGGGGGTCCCCAGATCCAGTCCTTTGTTAAGCAACTTATGCTGTTACCTCTGCAGAGCAGGAGAGTGGCCAGCTGATAAAATGGGGACTGCATGAGCAACTTAGCATTTTCACATGAGTGTCTTTTTTATGTGCCCACCTAAAAGGCTCCTCTACCACTCCTCACTCCCTTAATAACTAGATAACTAGAAAGATGCCAATATTGGAAGCAAAAGGACCAATCGGTTGAAGATAACGTCATCGGAGCCTGGGTAGAGAGGGAAGCTTATGTGCCAAGCAATGTGGAAAGGCCAAGGAATGGCAGCTGTGGTGGGACCTGGGGATCCTGGGCTGGATTTTCCTCATCCACATTAGTGGGTGCATACTTACCCCTTCATGAGGTGAGATGATCAATATAGAAGTTCTTGGCACAGTTCCTATCCCTATCAAATGTTAAGATATTTTTCTTTTCCTCTAGATAGGCAGCAAGTACACCTTTTGAATTCACTCTAACTCTAGAATTCCAAGCAAACATTTGGAAAACATCCACTGATCCAGAATGGTCTTGGGAAAGGGGTGGGACTTACAGTTAACTTATTATCCATGTCTGTTTGAGAGCCACTGCACTTATGCTTTTTACTGGTTTTCAAAAAATTAGATTACATTAAAGTCATATTTACAAATGAAAACCAGATTTTGTGTAATTTAGTTTCTCTTCAGTGACTGCTGGCCCCACTTTGAGTCTCCCTTGAGTATGTGCCCTCAACCCTGGCCTTCCCCGAGTTGGTTCTGGGATCCTCATGTAGTCCCTGTGCCCCTCTGAGCCCCAGTTCTTGTCTGTAAAAACCCCTAAAATCCTGACGTCCTTGAATTATTTATCATAATACAAGATCAAAGCAATAAAATTTAAGGGAAACAGGTATATCAATGCATATGACATTAAACCTGAAGGTTTCCTTTTTGATCAAATCCCTGAGAATTGCTTATTTCCTTGGCATCGGGCACGCTTTAAAGTAAGGGGCACGCTGTGTAGACATCATGCAAAAAGCTGCTGTTTGACCTTGTGTTCCAGTTAAGTAGGAATTACGTTACGCGTTGATCTTCTCTTTCCCTAACCACGTAAAATGATTGCTATCCGTACGTCATCTGCATTTCTGAACCATTAAAACATTCTGGTTTCTCATCTATCTGAAACCTTAAGCTATAGGTAGCTACGAATATAGTATCAGTAACGCAGCTCAAAGTCTCTTGCTGACAGGCCCTGCAGGCCGGCCCCAGTGGCATTACCCTTGCAGGTCTGTAATTATTTCTGAGGCCTCCTTCCCAGCGCCCTCTCGCCCTGCTCAAAGCACCCTCCTGCGGCCCCCAGCGTGGAACATTGTGTCTCACTCCTTGCTGTGTACACTGAAAAGTGCTTGCAGTCTTCATGTCATTGGCCCTCTTAGTTCAGTGAATGACTTCCTAGAATTTGAACCAAGTGGTGAATAGACAAATATCCCAAACACGACTTTGGAAAAAATAGCTGCCTGGAACTAACTGACATTTGGTTCACATGATAGAAGAAAAAACACTGGAGTAGCTCCTTGGAAATCCTGAAGCCTCACCATAATCCTATCACTGAGTTCAGATCAGCTGCCGGCCCTGTCCCAGCCTAGTTCACACTTGGCCCACCCCTGCACCCCCGCCCCCCGATAAAGAAAATGTGATATATATACAATGGGTGTCATTCAGCCTTAGAAAGGATGGCTGCTGTTAGTGGCAACGTGGGTAAACATGGAGGACCTACTATGTCAGACATAGAAAGACACAAAGACAGATAATGAATGGTCTCTCTTATGTGTAACCTCCAAAAAACAACAAAAAAAGTCAAACTCAGTTACACAGAGTCAAATGGTAGCTACCAGAGGATGGGGTGGGGAGGAGGGAAAAAGGGAAGATCTTGATCAAAGGGTACAGACTTGCAGTTACAAGATGAATAAGTTCTGGAAACCTAATAATACCATGGTAACTGTAGTTAATAAAGTATATTAGCTACTTAAAATTTGCTAAGAGAGTACATCTCCGTTGTCCTCACCACCGAAAGAAAATACTGTGTTAATGGCTATGTCAGTTAATCTGCCCATGGCCATCATTTCACAGTATATACATATATCAAAACATCACCTGTATACCTTAGGTATATATAGCATTTTTGTTTACCATAAATAAGTTAAGTATGAGAAACAAGGAGAGAAAAAGAAGCTATTGCCCAGACTCCACCACCTTTCTTTGAACTTGTTTCCCATATCCTTCCACCCTCTAGAGAAGGGGAAGGGTCCATGCAGAGAATAGCTGTAGGGTAGGGGTAAGTACGGCCCCTTCCGGTGGGCCTTATGCTTTCTTAGGTGTAAATAAATTTCAGACTTCTGCTCACTCATTTTCTGTCCCTGTCTTTTGCTTTCCCTCTCTCTCAGAGTTTTGGGCAGATCTTATTATTTTCAGTGATCAACAATAAGGAAAACTGTCCCACAAGGATTCTGAAGAAAAGGCATTTGTTGTTAAGTCTTAACTGCAGGGTGCGATGAAGAGTATTCCTGTAATAGTACCGCCAGGCACAGAGGCCGGCAAAGAAGTGATGGCATCTTGCTGTCTGAAAGTTTTTAGAGGATCTGAAAGCTGATCTGTCTCTGGGATGGCGTAGGTCCAGTCTCAAAGAGGCAGCAAGACAGTCATGGTTGCCTTTAAGCAGTCCTTTTAGGGTGTAATACTACAGAAATTACTTAACGCTACCACAGCTCAAGATGCCGGCAGCATTCTGAGCCTGAGTGTACTGTGGGGGGTAAGATTTGGTGGGAAAGAGTGGGTGAGGTCTTAGGGAAGTGGCATGCCCAGGATAGGAAGAACAAACACCTTCCCCAGGGCGCAGAGCCCCAGCCCTCTGGCCTCACCCTGTTCACACCTAGACAAAACTCTGAAGAAGGGTAATAGGCAGATTTAAGATCTAAGGAACATCAGCCGTGAGAGGCTGTGAAAACCACAACTGGGCCTTGGCCATGACGGCATGTAAGGTCTTAAGTAATCCAGTCAACTTCTGTGACCTTCTCTCTTCTCCTGTATTTATTCATTCCTCCAACAAATATTTATCACGGTCCTGCTGTGTACCGGGAGGCACAGTTCTAAGTGCTAGGTGAACTTAGTGAGCAAAACAGAGCTCATATTCCAGTGGGGGAGAAGGAGGAGAGTCAGAAAATAAGTATAATATGTGCTTGGTTAGTATATTTGAGAAAAATAAAGAAGGAATTAAGGAATGTCAGGGAATGGGTCCTACAGAGTTAAACAGGGCGGTCAAGAAAGACCTGTTTGAGGGGAAGACTTTGAGTAGAGACTTGAAGGAGGTCCAGAGAACTCAGAGGGAGCCAGCCATGCTGGCTTCTGGGGGAAGACTGGTCCAGGCAGAAGGAATAGCAGGGAATAGTCTCTGACCCTGGAGTGGGCTTGGCATGTGTGACACGCAGCAACAGAATGAGCAAGGGGCAGAGTGGGAAGGGGCGTATCACGGAGGTAACAGAGCCGAGCTGTGCACCTTTTGGACATGTTCCTCTTCTTGGAATAAGCTAGGTGGCCATTACAGGTTTCGCAGGAGTGGGTTATTCTGATTGCTATGTGAAAAGAGGTCAAAAGAGGGCAGAAGCAGGGAAAACACTTAAGTTGTGAAGGCAACAAGCCAGGCATGACGTGATGGCCTTGCCCAGGGCGATAGCAGGGCCATGGTGATCAGTGGCACCTGCTGATGGTACTGTGAAGGTAGAGCTCCTGGGGCTTTCT